GTCAGATCATCAAAAGGGGTAATGGAGCACCCGAACGTGAGAACCACTAATTATCTTAGTTGACCTAGGGATTTATTACAAGCGTCATAAACGAATGTTTGAACTTCTCTTCTGTTCGCTAAATTTGAAGAAAACAATCAATGTACATCCCAAATTTTGTAATGCATTACAACAACTCATCGTCTTGTTACCGCTTTGTCGAGAAAGCACTGAAAAATGAGAGTTCAATAAGCAAAAAAATCACATGACTGAACTTAATGAAACGCGAAATGATTGGTAAAATACATTCAGTGCTCTCTTCGATGAAATTATTGATGATGGAGCATTCTCAATAATGTGTGAAGCAGTTTAACAGACAATTTATCAGCCATTGAATAGATTGTTATAAAACTGTGTCTTTTTCAGGAGAAAATAGAAACTATAAACAGTCTTCTAAGGAGGAATCTGCCTCTATTTGGTCTAAATGCGAATAAGAATATAACGTACTTGTTTCATTATATTATAGGTAATAAGTAAGTTATCTGTATAAGTGAGTTTATAATTGATTGTTTATAATTGATTTATAATTAATTTATAATTAATTGTTTATAATTAATAATGTGTAAGTTTATAATTAATTGTTACTTGTAACTTAAGATCTTATTTTTTACTTAAAAATGCAGCCTGCATTCAATTTTTACCTACATATTAACAGTATTATCTACAAACTATTATCATCTGCACAAAGTATTATTCTGTTCTAGAAATAAGAATATTTTGTCTACAACTTTCGACCGTGAAAATGTTTTAAAAAGGTATAAAATCGATGTTGCTAAGTGAGTTATCTGCTAATCGTAAGCGTCGATGTTGCTCTTCAACTTATGAAATTTGCACTTATGAGAAAAAAACTTATGAAAAAGAAAATTGAGCGAATTGAATACTGATAGGACGTATTTCGCAAGTCTTAAGAATTTCTGAAGGGAAGAAATGCTGTAATCACTGTTCAGTTTGATGCCGACATCTTTACAGTAATCGTTATTCGTTTCTGATTAATTTATTAACTTACGATGAAACGTTGTTGTTTAAGAGGGCGATTACGGCTCGCCTCGGGGATTCGCCGACCCTGAAGCAAAGCATCAATGAACAACGATCTGCGACAGTTAGCATATGATCATATGCGTTACATCGCCGTACCACATCTCGCTCAATCGCACATCTCGGAATGCTCGATTGAACCGATCGTTAATCATAACCCATTCTCGTGAATTTTCCATTCATGTCTTTCATTTGGTTTTATCTATTCACATGTTTTTGACCTAATTTTATTCATTTCATAATTTTAAATATGAACTTAAACTTCACTTTCTAATTGCTTTATTTGCTTTTAGTATCAACTAATCAAATACGTCTCAATGCTCAATTCACTGAGTCCGTTTACCGAAGATTAATTTCAGGTTTTATTGTTTCATCTCGGCGTAACGCTTATCCAATAAATTCACCTCTATGCAACGCAGACTCGAAAAGTGAGATATTTGTTTAGTTCATTGTAAAAACTCGAATTGAACACAATTTAATTTGAGAAATAGCTGCTCGATTAATTCATTGATATCTTGAGTTCGTTGTTCTTGCCTCGCAAAGGTTTAAAAAAAATAAGAAGCAAGACAAGAGATACTGTTCTCTGCTCGCAAACCCTCAAAACACTACCTACGAATGAACTACTCCAAAGAACCGTTTATGGCATTTAACACCTCAGAAATGTTCTTTTGGTACCCGCAAATGCGTTGAATTCTAAAGAGGAATTTATCATTGAAAATGAGACATGATTGAAGAATATTGAAGGTATAATCACGAGCAGGTGTTCGCGAATGAAGAAGAGTTACGTAATTACGTGCGAGAGAAGGGATGGCTGAAATTCAAAGAGTTGAAACGTGTTCAGAAAGGTGGACATGCGATCTATTATTATTGTAAAGCGATTAAGTGGATGAATGTGCGTTGCAAGCATATGATGTTGGTGGTTAAGGAGGACAACGGACTTATCATTGGACGTACCACCGATGGAGGATTACCGCACTCACACGCGTGAGTTTTAGTTACGTCTATGAGTTGATTTTTATTCATTCTGTATATGCGACTACCTAAGTTCAGTCCCAGTCATAGAATTAACTCATGATTTTATGCTAATGAGCACCTTTTGAAATAGCCAATAATAAGCGCTTCCATCCTATTTAATTTCCTCACGACTGGAATTGTTCGTGCTTGAATGGACTAAGGAGCTTTTATACCGATAAGGAATACTATTTGAAGTGTTTCGAATCTGGCAATTAAAAGCAAAACGTTTAGTGTAAAACAATCACTCGATTTTTCGGTGATTATCAAAACCATTGAAAGCTGTTCTTTCAATGATAAAATGATTGCTCATTTGCAGTGGTATGAGGACACCCAAACGAGGACCGAAACAAAACAGTAAATTCATTTTATATATTTCACTTATAATGCCTCGTAGCTCAATATTCAAAATTCTTAAAATCTCATTGTTTCCCAATTCAAAAAATTCACAACGAAATAATAGGCAACAACAGGTTACCTGTGTTTTTAGGAGCCTATCACTGAAAACTTAAGAGCATTTTTAAATGAGCATGTTACCTTAATGTTCAAGGGTTTTTCGATGTGTTTAGCATTTTCAAAAATAATTTTATGAGACACAGTTGGTTTCATTTGCACCAATCTTATTAGTTGGTTATACGAAAGCATTTTAATTTTCGGAAAACTTTTGGACTCTAAAATTTTTTCTTTCATGATTCTTATATTTCCTCATTACTACGATAATTGTGTTAAGCGCTGCGATACCGCATAGGGTTACCAGTGGAGAAGCGCGATTTGGGGGTACAGACGTCACTTGCCGATTGTAATGATTCTAACGTGGTCGGTTTATTACACATTTTCTTGCAATTATCTACGGCTAATATCAAATTTAAAATCAAAAACGATTAGCTGAATGAGTATTTCTATTTTTGACAGTTTTGCGATTATATGGCATTAGCTATGGATAAACCAGTAAAACGTACAAGGCGAAGAATGGACACTAAAATATGCGACAGAGCAGGAATGAATAATGTGAGATAGAGTCGTAGAGTAGTTGCATGATTATGAATCCCCAGAATTCTTTATTTCTTTCACAAGGTATTTCGAAGAATCCCATTCCAATTCCAGATGGATTGCTCAGCAATACCCTCAAGAACGTTATTCGAGGATGGTTTAAAGCAAACCAGATCAACTTCACGTAGACTAAATTTCACCAATAATGTTCGTTTCCGTTCTAATTTTTTCTTTTTTCGAGAAAATCAATTGTCATTTCTTGTCATCATTGCGAAGCTTTAGAAATGAAGATTTGAAGAAAGGTGAGTTTTTCAAAACAAAGTGTCATTCGTTTTGATGAAGAAAAAAAGAATCTCAGCGAGGAATTGTTTTTAATAAGTTAATGTTTGAAAATTTCAGATGCATATGACGCACACACAAGAGACTTCACAACTGTTAAGTACGATGGATAGTGAAGAGTTTAGTGAAATTTTGGCCGATGCAACTCCACGTTTGATTGAAAAAATGCGCGATGTATACGAGGCTCGTAAGGAAGACGAAGAACGCGACATTGCAGCGACCTTCATGAACGCATCATCGGATCTCATCGATAAAATGATTCGCGTTCACCGTTTACAGAGCCAACTCAAACAGTCATCAACTTTAAACAGTAACACAACACTCACATCTGAGCTCAGCAATTCAACCGCCGATGATTTATTCTCGAACGCTTCGCCTGAACTAATCGAAAAGCTCAAACAACTACATCAAGAGAAGAAACAACGAGAAGAAGAAAATGCACTGAAACTTTTTTCAGCAATGTCAGAGAGCAAGCAATGCGAAGTGCTCAATTTTTATTATGATCAGTCAATGCAGTAACACCATAATTTACTTGAACTTCGCTATATTTCGCTTTTGAGTTGTTACGTATTTTCGCGTGTTTCTCCATTTCATTGTTTCAACGTTCAACAGAACTTTATTATTGCTTTCTTCAATGTTTACTTTGATGTCTGTTATGATCTTATTGCTTTGACTCATTTGATTCGAATTATTTCATCTTTGGAACGAATTTAGGATTTCTTCATTACAGTTTCCTATTCATATTTCTATCAAATATCATTTTTTGATGTGTATTACCATTGAAAGTTTATTTTCAAATATTCTATCGATTCTATGATTTATTCGAATCTTTTTTGGTTGGTGCGGGATTTAGTTCATGGAGAATTGTTCAGAATCAATTGAGGAGATAAAATAAAATAGCAGTGATAAAATACTGGCAAGCGGTAACCATTTTATTTGATGACACTGTTTTTTAACATATCCTTATTTGTTTCCATTGCGAGTTGCGCTTTATTGGAGTATGAGAAGAGTTGTTGTACACTTTTTATTTCGTCTATCTTATTTTAACGATATTCGCAATTTTCAACAATGCAAATAAATTATGAAAAACAGACCATCCCGAATTCGTTGCAATGAAAGTTGGTCATCTGTTGGAACAGATGAAGTTGTAAGTCGTAATGATCCTTTCAGAATCATGAAAATTCAATTTCTAGCGCATACGATGCTGTCCTCTATTACTGCATTTTTGAAGAAGCTCTCAAAGTGGATTAGAAAATGCACCAAGAAAATATGACCACCAATTTCAAGAAAGCAGAACTTTACATATCCCGCCCGGCTTCGGCGCCAGCTCATACGACGGGGAACACCTGGGAGTATCTAAAAGACGTGTTTTTCAACTTGTCACCCTTAACATATAGCACCTTAACTCACCTAAGTGCGACCCCTTCACTTCTATGAACAATAGTTCTACTTGACGCTGAATGTGATACTATAGTATGTGTTCGATCCTTAGGGTGTTTGCAATAGTGTTATGTTGTTGTCAACAAGAACATGGGCTACCATTCGGCAGGTTGCTTGAAAGGTGACATTAAGAGCAAGCAAAATCATGTTTATTTCTTTGTAACTATGCCACCCCTTTAGCACTTTAATACTTTTCATATAGGTCAAAGCTATACAGCATGAAAAACAGTTTTCTTACGCGTTTTGATACCCATAGCAAACCGATCTTGAACCAGCCTCTTTGTTTTTTTTGACACAGTGAGTACAGCGTTGACAACTGATAATGAGATCGCAGGTTGGATCCTGGGTCGTAAGATTTATTGTATTGCAGAAATCAAGCGAGAAAAATAGATTTTTCAGGGAATTATTTTCCTTTATGCAAGAACAGTTGAAGTTGCAAGTTGATAAAAAAGAACAATTATTAAAAATGGACTCGCTCATTCCTTGAATGGTACTTAAGAAAACGTAAAAAACTTTCTGGAGAGTCCGAAGAGAATGAAAAGACGACATAGGAAGAAAATTTGGATAGATCTGAAGAAAAAACGCAATGACGAGCAATGTGGCTACTAACGCTGCAAATGTTTGATAGCCTGACCAAATCAGGTAATGATATAATCACTTATGAACTTCACAACATTGTGTCGCAAACAAATCGTTCCTGGCAAATTCATCTCCCGCACTTGACGAAAACGTTACAAATCGAGTAAAGACACGAACGGTTGAAAAGTCAGAAACGGTCACACAC